CATGCTCTTTTGTGGGGGGTGTTCTTCCTTTATTCTGGCCTGCAATAGACATGCTATTTGTSAGGAATGTATGGTTGGCATGCTTAATGCCAGCCATCGTGGAAGTTGTTGTTTTGAGAATGCTCAGTTAGGTCTTCCATGCGCTCATCCACCCCATCCTTACAATGTGTGTCCTTTCTGTCGTCAAGGACARCCTCATTCTTGAGCTTTTCCCTATGTTTAACACCTTCCCCTTCACTCTGCCTCTCTCACAGCGTGCAAGTGGGTTGTTATGGCATACTGGGATGGGGGCAGCTCGCGCTCAACTTCATCAACGTGGCGAGCCTTGCACGTGAGAGGCACAGTGGAGGTGGAGTTCAAAGAAGAATGAGAAATTTAATGGTTTCAATCTGCCCTTGTTTTTTTTTTTGTTTTTTTTTTTGCATGTTATGATTGTTATCATTGTGCCCGTTTTTTGCTTTTATTCTTTGTTCCGCAAAGTGCGCTCTTTCAGTTTGTAGTTATGTGACAATATATATATATATAGTCAAACAGAGCTGCCCGATAAACCGTAGGCAGAGAGGGAGAAGAGGACAACAAACGAATGCTACCTCCAACATCCCTTCCCATCAATAGGCCGGTGTGTTCACTGGGCAATTGACCAGATTTGAACGCATTTGCAATAATTGGCTGGACTTCCGAATTGCAGCGACAACACTCACTCGTCGCATGCTTCTCGTGGCCACTCCCCACCAACCCTCGCTAAAGGATGGACCTGCTACACACGCTCCCGCCAACGTCGCTATCCTACACAAGTCACCCGTCTTTCTCAGTGGTTCCGACGCATGCTGCGATGGTCCTTGCATCACCCACTTTCTTCTTTATCCCCACATCGCTCTCGTCCTGTCACTGCTTGTTCATCTGCTGCTAATGCAGTTCCCACTGTTGCGGTTCCCACCTCCGCCGCTTCCACCGCTGTGGTCTCCACTGCTGCAGTTTCTGCTGTTGCTGTTTCAACTTTGGGTTTCACTCCGGCAGTTTCTGCTACGGAAGTTGCCTCCGCTGCGGTCCCTGCTACGGAAGTTGCCTCTGTTGCGGTTCCTGCTACAACAGTTGTCTCTGCTGCGGTTCCACTTTTTACCACTGGGGTTCCTAGTACAACAGTTGTCTCTGCTGCGGTTCCACTTTTTACCACTTCCTCTGCTTCTGTAGCTCGAATTTCTCATGCTATAGTTTTTACTGGTATAGCTTCCTCTACCCCAGCCCTACACTCGCGTCCTATGTTCCGACATCCTGCCCAATCCACCCCCCTTTCATCCCTTTCTGTGCTTAGCTGCAGACGGCTGCGTTCCTCCTCGCCACCCCCATCTCCTCCACGGTCTCGTTTGAGAACCGATTCTCCGGTTTCTATTCTTCCCATTGTTCCTCCTTCATTGCCAGTAACATCCTCATCTTCTGTTAGAAACATCGCCACTCCTCTTATTGTGTATCATCGTCGACGACATGCACAACATCACCACTTGGCCAGGGATCAGCGGCCTGCTTCTTTGTCTACCCCAATTTTCTTTGTGCCTCCTCCACAGGTTGTTGCGGTTCCGTTGTCCCAAACGGATACATCCGCTCCTATGCCTCCTGCAGACAGTCCAGCTGCTTGCACACAGCCACAGCACACTAAAACTGCAAGACTGTGAAGAATGCAGTAAAAGAAGAACATAAGTTTGTGTCATCTTACTTTGTTTGTACCCTGCACCCTAACACCCTCAAAAGAAAAGTCCGAAGGGTGAAAATGAAGATGAAAAATGAAGAAGGAAGTGCAGGTGCGCTGAAAAGCGAGCGTGGTAGACTCTACACCAAAAATGCAAAACCGTGAAAGAAAGAAGAATGCCGTGAAAGAAAGAAGATGTTTGGGTGACTTTTTTTGTTTTTTCTCCCTTTGCCTATCGGTTTTCTTTTTCTGCTCCTCTCTTCCTTGTGTTTAACACCTCTTCCTTCACTCTGCGTCTTTCCCATAGCGTGCAAGTGGGCTGTTATGGCATACGGGGATGGGGGCAGCTCGCGCTCAACTTCATCAATGTGGCGAGCCTTGTACGTTAGAGGCATAGTGGAGGAGGCGTTAAGAAGACTGAGAAACTGAATGATTTCAATGNCTCAACTTCATCAATGTGGCGAGCCTTGTACGTTAGAGGCATAGTGGAGGAGGCGTTAAGAAGACTGAGAAACTGAATGATTTCAATGTGTCTTTGCTTTTTATTTTTATCCTTTGATTCGGTGTAATTTTTTTTTGTAAAACACTGAAAGAAATAATAATACTGTGAAACAAAGAATAAGAGGACACTGTTTTGTGTCATTCTGGTTTGTCTGTCTCTTTGCCTGTCTGTCCTTTCATTTTTCTTTTCTTCACTCATCTTAGTTCTTCTTCTACTTCACGTGCTTACGCTCTTAGTCAATAGTTCTGTGACAAAATATATATTGCAGGGTGCTGATGACCCCCGACCGGTAGCTGCCAACTAGTCAAGGGCCGCCGACCATCGGGGGGTGCAACCCTGCCAGCGGGAGTAAAAGGATTTCACGCTGTGTCGGTGTCCCGAGTCCTGGTCCTAGTGTCCCAGTTGGTCCCAGTCCCAAGGATCCCTGTAGGGCCCAGTTCGTAGCTTCCTAGAGGTCTATAGGAGTCCGGTACGATCTGATAGTGAGAAGTTGTAGGTTGGTAGAAGTCCGTCCCGGTACCCGACAGAAGAAGTCCAAGTCCAAAAGTCCAGTCCTGGCAGCAGCATCCTGCAGGCTGTGGGGACCGTCACCGGTCCGGAGCAGACAAAAGGCACCAAGAGCTGCTATTAGTAGAGGCTACAGTACCTGTTCGGATCGCTTGTTAATTTTCATGTTGCCGAAGCTCTGCTGAAGCCCGGGCCGTTAGGGGGACTCTGTAGGTGAGCTTTGGTACCACTTTTCAGCCCTTCGGTACCTGGCCGCTTTTCGGGTTTCTGTTCGGAGGCAGATATTTGGGTTTCTCTGTTTTCCCGCTCATGGTGCAATAAGGGGTTTTCCACCTACGGTGGTATGGGCTCTCTTGACTTCTACTGTGGTGTTGAAGGTGGACTCTGACCTGTGTGACGGTTGAGGGGACACTTTACAGGACCTTCGCGGCTGGTCGGCCATGGCTGCCCGACTATTTACTGTCGAAGGTTCTCTTTGGCAGCCTCACTTTCGCTCCGGTGTATGATTGTTTATGACAGTTGGAGAGCATGCGCTGGCTGCGCCGCAGGTGCAGCCTGGCTATGATGCTCTACCGCCTCTGAGTATGCCACTGGGACGGATATGCGAGTACGGTTGTCTTTGCTCCTGAACTTTGCCGTTGCCGCCGCTAGCTCCGGGCTTTGCTGCTGCTAGACGTGCTCTGGATGATCGATCTCTGATCCTTCGGGGGCTATCACTTCATGCTCCACAGCTTTGTTGCTGCTCGAAAATCGCTGCCCTTCGATTGTTTTCTGTGTGTGTTTCTGTTTGTGTCTGTTTGTTTCTGTTGCCGCTGTGTGTGAAAGTGTTATTGCTACCAGCACCCATCTGCCCTGCTACCAGCATGGTGGGGGGTTGGTTCCTGTTTCCTGCTGTTTTGGTTACCTCGACATTGACGGGGGTGATGCTGTCTCAGTGGTGTGCGATCGGAGGCTTTGATTGGGGTATAGGATGCTTGGGTATAGAGTCTATAGACGAAGAGATTGGTGGAAGGTTGGTGTTGGGTAGCTCTATAAGAGGCAAGGCATACGGAAAGGCCCCGAGCTAGATCGATGGTTTCGAACTTGGTTCAGTTGGTTTTTTCCTCCTCAAGAGTCCGCGTGCGGGGCGGACGAAACCCATCGAGGTGTTGGCGGCAGGGTGGCAGATTGATGAATATCTTTCTTTCTTTGATTAAAGTGATTTCCTAAAGTTCAATGAGCTATTGATTTTCTGGCGTGCATAACAAAACTTGCTTATTCGTGAATCTTTGCTTTCCGTTCTCTTGCTGTCGCTGTCTGTGCCGGGCAGTCTTTCTCCTCTCCTCTGCTAAAGCGCTTGTGAAGTAAATGTGTTTGACTGTTGGGAAGGTTGACGAAGGAGGAGGGTGGTGATTGGAGCCATAGCGAGGGTTGAGCGGGAAGAAGAAGTTCGCCATAGCCAAGTAGGGCAGTGAGAGAGGCGAGTGTATTCAGGAAGTGTGAG